AAACGGGAAAAAAAAAAAAAAAACAGGAAAAATGCGACCAAATCCCGCCGCTTCCGGTTTCGCGCCGAGCACTTCCGGTCACGTGGTGCGGTTTCGTTTTCCCCCACTTGAGGTTTCGCTCCCGGCCCCGTGAGCCGCCATCACAGAGCGAAGCTGCTAGACTTGGTGGAGGCGGCGCTGAAGGAAGCGGGGCTGAGAGGCGGGGACGTCGATGCGGTCGCGTTCACCAAAGGTTTGGGCCGCGCGGGGACCCGTAGCGACACATAGGGAGCCATAGGGACCCCATAGGGACACATAGGGACCCCATAGGGACCCCATAGAGACACATAGGGACACATAGGGACACATGGGGACACGTGGGACCCCATAGAGACCCATAGGGACATGTAGGGACCCATAGGGACATATGGGGACACATGGGACCCCATAGAGACCCATAGGGACCCCATAGAGACACATAGGGACCCCATAGGGACACATGGGGACACATGGGACCCCATAGAGACACATAGGGAGCCATAGGGACCCCATAGAGACATATAGGGACCCCATAGGGACACATGGGGACACATGGGACCCCATAGAGACCCATAGGGACACATAGAGACCCATAGGGACATGTAGGGACCCATAGAGACCGGTCGGGACCCATAGAGACCCATGGAGACCCATAGCAACCCCATAGTGACACATAGCGACCCATAGGGACCCATAGTGACCTATAGGGACCCATAGGGAGCCATAGAGACCCATAGGGACCAATAGGCACCCATAGAAACCCATTGAGACCCCATAGGGACCCATAGTGACCCATAGGGACCCATAGGAACACAAAGGGACCCATAGGAACACAAAGGGAACAATAGGGAGCCATAGCGACCCCATAAAGACCCATAGGGACACATGGAGACCCATAGACACTCATAGGGAACCATAGGGACCCATAGAGACCCATAGGGACCCATAGGGAGCCATAGAGACCCCATAGTGACCCCATAGGGACACATAGGGCCCCATAGAGACCCATGGAGACCCCATAAAGACCCGTAGAGACCCATAGGGACCCATAGGAAGCCATAGAGACCCATAGGGACACATAGAGCCCCATAGAGACATGTAGGGACCCATAGGGAGACCATACAGACCCATAGCGACCCATACAGACCCCATAAAGACCCATAGGGATACATAGGGACCCATAGGGACACACAGAGACCCATAGCGACCCATAGGGAGCCATAGGGACCCATAGGGACCCATAGAGACACATAGGGACCCATAGGGAGCCATAGACACCCCATAGGCGACCCCATAGGGACACATAGGGACCCATACGGACACATACAGACCCATAGACACCCCATAAAGACCCATAGGGACGCATAGAGACCTATAGGGACCCATAGGGACCCATAGGAACCCCATAGGGACACACAGACACCCATGGAGACCCATAGGGACCATATAGAGACCCATAGGGACACAGAGGGACACAGAGAGACCTATAGGGACCCATAGGGACATATGGGGACACATGGGACCCCATAGAGACCCATAGGG